ATGTAAATGCCCTGGATTAAAGCAAAGATGTATGTCTTTGTTTCAATTTTGCAAGAAACTCAGGAAATGCACTGACTGACATAGAAGCTGCAAAAGATGCTGGGAAACCATTTCAAAAATATTTTTTTCTTTTGTTTTTAACTATTAGCAGGTTAGTGGATGAGAACAATGGTGCCCACCGCTGGCTTCAGGTTCTCCTGGCTCAAGTAGTTATCACTCAATTACCAAAATACTCTTTAAGTGATTTAAGTTGCTTTTTATACAAGACTTGTCAAAGATCTACATGCTACACATTTTAAATACTTTTTTTACTAATTGTTATTTTGGGTGTTTGATTTCTCTTTTTGCTGGTAATCAAGCTTGAAGKGTTAACCACATTCATGCATGGGTAGTGCAAGAGTAGCTCTTCCATAAAGTAAAGAATCCATCAATATTTTAAAGCCTTTCTGCTTCACTGTGTTGTGCAGCTGAGAACAGCAGCACTGAAAATCCATATTAGGCATAACTGATGCACAATGTATAGTTTCTGGGTCCCAACTCAAACATCAGACACACTCCACTGAGATATTCGGCAGTGTTTTAAAAATCACTTCCTCTTAGCAATCCAAGATTTGCTTAAAGAATTAAGTTAGACATAAGTAACAATAGTTTTGTGCTGAAGAGCGTATTTTAGTCAACCTTTTGAWATTGATGCACTTTACCTCTTTGGTGAAATTCAATCATCTCAAARTGTTGCAATACAGTTTGTTCCACAGAGCAAACGGTTTCATTCGACTCTAAAGAAAAATGTCTCTTCTCTTGCAGTCCATAGACCCTGGTCAGCAGTTCACATGGGAGCACTCCAACCTGGAGGTCAACAAACCAAAGAACAGATACGCCAATGTAATTGCCTACGATCACTCCAGAGTCTTACTCTCTGCTATTGACGGTACGCCACACACCAGCTTCTTACCTCCTAACTGCTGCATTGATTTTACAGATGGGTRGCAGAAACATGTTGTAAAGGCTTCAGGACACCTACCACACTGATAAAATTACATAATAAAGATTGACGATACATTGAAGGGTTGCAGAAGAAAAATAAAAGTATTGACAGCTGGAAATACAGACAGTCTTAGCAACATGTTCTGGACTAGGTATAGGCCTACCAAAATGTGTAAATTTGAGTCGTATGTAGTTTGTGTATTGAGTTGTTCCCACCTGCATAGTTYCATGGTCAGAAGGCCTGTAAAAGAAAAGAGAGGGYAAAATTTAAATACTTGGAMCAAATTGTTATAAWACAGTTAGGAAAACGTACAGTATGGCCCTTGTGTGATTTTGGAAACTTTTTTTTACCCACATGTGAAATTCGTGAATGAATTATTTTTGGCCATAATTATATATAGGATAGAGTAGTTAATATCTAAACAAGGTTAAACAAGGTAAGTGTAAATACAGCAGAGTTAAGTGCCCAGTATGCTCYGTACGAACTGCTGAAATCTGCTCTCATTGTCGCAGTTGCATGATGAAAATTTTGTCAATTTGTTTGCATCTTCGAGCCTTCCACCCCTTCTGCATGAGGTTTCTTCCTGTCTACACTCTAGAAAAAAAAAATATATATAGATATATATATATATATCAAACCACGTGACTGTACGTCAACTGTTTGGCTTTGGATAGAGACTGGGCCCATCAGWTTCCCAACAAATGTTTACTGCAGTTTGTACAGTGGCTCAGGCTTTATTTGTATGTTAAAAGTAACACGACAAAACTTATTGTCACCTCTGATGCCCAACAAACGAAGCTCTTARTTCTGAAACATTCAAAAACCAAAGTACTGCTGGCTAAAACACTGGTGATTATGTTAATCCTTTCTTTAAGAATGTCATATGGATAAAAGTTTGGAAACCTAAATACGTTCTTAATCTATGCTTATTTAATCTGAGWCTGTGTAGAGTCACTGAAAGTAACGTGATTTGTTCAACTTTTTTTGGAAACGTCAGTTGTTGAGATTTTGAAATTCCTTAAAGATGTGTTGCACACAAACATTTCTAAYAAATGAAAGRGCACTTTAAATTGGCCTKCCAAAGTACCAGCCTATTCATCAGTTTATGCTTATACACTACTGCACACAACATTTAAGTTACCATTTCTTTTCAGAGCAAACTAGGAGCAGTAAATGAATAATGTGATAACAGATAAAGACTTAAGAGAGCTCGTTTTGCTGCCTCTCAAAAACACAACACAATTTAAGTGTTGATGGAGCTCCATTAGTCGGCCATATAAACACTTCTGCACAATCATGCTGGAGCCTTTATGTTGTTGAAAGTGAGTAGATCTCTGCCAGACGGACACCAGGGACATTCTCGCTTCCTTCTACAGCTTAAACAAAGCCTTTTGGCAAGCAGTCTGTCCATTGTTTACTTTGAYAGAGTTCTTTGAATAAAAAGGGATTTGACATCAGAGATTGAAGTCGGAATATATTGATGTGGGGATGGATCAGCAGAATCTTCTGCAAACAGATGTCCTGATGCTTAAGTACATTTGTAAACTTAATTGTTATATCACTGAAATTGCTTTACTTTCATGAGTGACAAAGTGTGTCTCGCCGTACAAGCACTCATTTAGGCAAACAGCTTTATAAGTATATGATTTTGTTATTATAGAATGATTAGGGGTATCTGATGACCAACCCCAATGTCAATTTTTAGAATATAAGGTAACTAACTGCTGGTTTTTGAAACATTGCATTTTCCTCCTAAATTAATTGAGTGTCAAATGTTATGATTTAACACATGGACCCATTACTCAAGGCTTGCTATAAATGTGAAGTTATTCATATTTTCTTTGTAAAAGGATTTCCTAATTTAAAATAAAAGGCTTTTAAAGTTGGAAACGTACCCCGGATCAAGAAGGGCATTGGTTGAAAGTGTGTAACACTTAGCTGACCATAGATATGTCTCCCCATTATGTCTTTAGTATCTTAAGTTGATTCATTTAAATAYGGCAAAAGCAAAATGTACTCACCTGTAAATATACCTGAAAATGTTTTGTGCCCTCAAATTTCAACTTTTTACAATGTCTCCCATTTAAGTAGTTGTCAGTTTTGAAGAAGCAATAAGCCTTTTTCTTTTCAACCTAAGTAGTTAAAAAAAACTGCTAGCATCTTGACAGACACGTTCTATTAATAAAATGTAAATATAGCAATTTACCAATTATCATCCCAACAATTTTGCACCATAAAAGYCGTCTTTCTTTTTGCTTCTTTTGCCAAGAACCAAGTTCTAACCAATGCCACTAAAACACCAATGTTTATTTCTTAATAGCCATGTTGACTTCGAAAATGGACGAATTTATACAAATCCTGAGTGACAGAAAAGAATAGAAGCAAAATCCATTTGCAAATGTACATTTAACAACTTGCCTCGTTCTCATTAAACCGCAGTAATGTCTGTTTTTTCTTTTCAAATTGAAAACACACTGGGCTTAATTGTACTTATCCCTTGTCCATCACAGAAATGCACAGCCGCCTGACTGTGTGGACAACTTCAACAGCAAAATGTGAGGGTGGGAGGGAAAAAATAATGTGGGTGGGTTCTTTTAATGTGTTCGTATTCCATTTGCTTCCTTTTTTTCTGTTGAATAAGTTACCTGGGAGTAAAAGAGAGTCTGAGGGAGTAGAAGCAGTTCGGCGCGGGTGGGGGGGTGGGTATTCTCTGAGACGTGGCACCCATGCAGATGAGACTTATCTTGGTCGACCATGTGTGCACGGAGCCCCTAAACTGCCAGTCCTAAAGCATTGACTAGCTGTCAGCTCTGTCTGTTTCGCCTGGATTCGAAAAGGCTGCTGTGCCTTTCATTTATTATAAGCAAAGGAAAGAGGGAGCGAGGAGAGCTGGGGGGAAATTGTTTTGCTAGTTTCTTGTTGGTTTGTTTTTCTCCTTGTGAGACCAAGCTTTATCTTTAAGTCAGTTGCAGATATGGAATAGGGAAATGTGTTGTTGATAGCAAACACAAATCCCTTTGGATGGTAACGCTAACGTGACTATTTTTGCTATATTTTGTACAGAAAATGTTAGTTTTACTGAAATTATTTCAGTAAACACAAAGGAGAGTTTAATATTGTGTTAAATGAAAATTGGCAATTTGAAGTTACTGCCAATAAACTGCTGTGGAAAAAAACTTGGACTAAGAATATTAAAAATCATTTGTTTTATGCAATGTCCTTTTCTTTTACCAACTTTCATTTATCAAACATTTCTTTAACTTCAAAGTTCTCAACTATAAAATCCTTCCTTTTTTGTTCAAGGTGTTCCTGGAAGTGACTACATCAACGCCAACTACATAGATGGTTACAGGAAGCAAAATGCTTACATTGCCACTCAAGGATCTCTGCCAGAAACATTTGGTGAATTCTGGAGAATGATCTGGGAGCAGAGGAGCGCCATTATCGTCATGATGACCAAACTGGAGGAAAGATCCAGGGTAAAGGACAAAAACTGAAATCATATAAACCATTTCTCAAGCCAAACTGATTGTTTTAATTGCTGATACCTTAACTCTTTTCACTAATTTATTTATGAATTTACTGGCTGAAGACACAAAACTACAATTTTTTACTAAGCTGTGCGTTTACTTGTCCCCTACATTACTAGGGATACTTTTATCTACAGTATTTTACAGACTATAAGTCGAAAATTTGTTATGAAGAGGGAAWTTTTTTTTAAATAACATCAGAAATAGTGTTGCATCATGTCGATGATAAAAAAAAATAGTCAGTACATTTTTATTTATTCACGTAAATGTTCATTGGTATATGTAATGAAGTACAAAAAACTGTTGGGTGCAGAGTTGATTCTGTTTGTGGTTGCATTTACTAAAGAAGATGCAATAATAATGGAGGAACAAAAAGAATCACACCGAGGACATTAAAAATAAACAAGTAGTAAAAGTTGGCTACATTTTACAGAAAATCAACAAAATAAAGTGAAATGTATGAGCACCTGAGATGCTAACACGCTGGGACCGTAATTATCCTGTCCAGATGGGTAAGTTTCAGAAAGCTARCTTGTTCTTCTGCTTGATGCCGCACATATCTTATTTGACCTCTCATGGCTGTTAACGGTAATACTTAATCTGTGATTATTTCTGTCATAATAGTGCACTTCTCACTTCACATGAATGTCACAGTTATCCTGTGTCTGTCTCTAAAGAGTAATGTTTTCACAACAAACTAAATATAATAACACTTGAAACATATGAATTTCAACCTAACTTAAYAGCTTACTCAGATGTATTTTAACATTAATACATGCRTTAATGTGCAATRTGTGCTGGGCAGTGGTCGAAGGTGAGGACCTTGGCGGTCTGATCCTCGGCTGCAGAAGCTGGCTCTAGGGATGTGGAATGTCACCTCTCTGGTGGGGAAGGAGCCTGAGCTGGTGTGTGAGGTTGAGAGGTTCCGACTCGATATAGTCGGACTCACCTCGACACACCACTCTGGCTCTGGAACCAGTCTCTTCGAGAGGGGTTGGACACTCTTCCACTCTGGAGTTGCCCATGCTGAAAGGCGCCGAGCAGGAGTGGGCATACGTATTGCCCCCCATCTTGGTGCCTGTTTGTTGGGGTTCACCCCGGTGAATGAGAGGGTAGCCGGGTTCTGACTGTTGTTTGTGCCTATGTGCCTAAAAGCAGCTCAGATCACCCACCCTTTTTGAAGTCCATGGAGGGGGTGCTGGAAAGCACACCTAACAGGGATTTCCTCATTCTGCAGGGAGACTTCAAYGCTCATGTGRATGTTTTGTTATTGGACTTCTGTGCTCATCATGGATTGTCCATAATGAACACCATGTTCAAGCATAAGGGTGTCCATATGTGCTCTTGGCACCAGGACACCCTAGGCCGCAGTTTGATTATCGACTTTGTCGTTTCATCTGATCTGCGGCCGCATGTCTCGGACACTCGGATGAAGAGAGGGGCGGAGCTGTCAACTGACCACTACCTGGTGGTGAGTTAGCTCCATTGGTGGGGAAGGATGCCGGTCAGACCTGGCAGACCCAAACATATAGTGAGGGTCTGTTGGGAACGTCTGTCAGAGTCTCCCGTCAGACGGAGCTTCAGCTCACACCTCCGGGAGAACTTTGTACAAGTTCCGGGGGAGATGAGGGATATTGAGTCCGATTGGACCATGTTCCGTGCCTCCATTGTCGAGGTGGCTTCCCTGAGCTGTGGCCGTAAGGTTGTCTGTGCCTGTCCTGGCAGCAACCCTCAAACCTGCTGGTGGACACTGGCAGTGAGGGCTACTGTCAGGCTGAAGGAGGAGTCCTATCGGGTCTTTTTGGCCTGTGGGACTCCGGAAGCAGCCGATGGGTATCGGCCGTCCAAGCAGATTGTGGCTCGGGTGGTAGCTGAGGCAAAAACTCGGGCATGGGAGGAATTCCGAGAGGCCATGGAAAAAGACTTCCATATGGCTTTGAGGCGATTCTGGTCCACCATCCGGCATCTCGGGGGGAAACTGGTTCGCCACCAACACAGTTTATGGTGGGGATGGTGCGCTGCTGACCTCAACTCGRCACGTTGTGGGTTTGTGGGCGGAATACTTCAAAGACCTCCTCAATCCCACCAACACGTCTTCCCATGAGGAAGCAGAGCCTGGTGACCCTGGGTCGGACTCTCCAATCTCTGGTGTTGAGATCACTGAATTGGTGAAAAAGCTCCTCAGTGGCAAGGTGCTAGGGGTGGATGAGATTCACCTAGAGTTCCTTAAGGCTCTGATTGTTGTGGGGTTGCGTTGGTTGATGCAACTCTACAATATCGTGTGGACATCAGGGGCAGTTCCCCTGGACTGGCAGACCAGGGTGGTGGTCCCCCTATTTAAAATGGGGGACCGCAGAGTGTGTTCCACTTATAGGGGGATCACACTTCCGAGCCTCCCTGGTAAGGTCTTTTTGGGGGTCCTGGAGGGTAGGGTCCGTCGGATAGTTGAATCTCGGATTCAGGAAGATTAGTGTGGTTTTCATGGTGGTCGTGGAACAGCGGACCAGCTCTACACCCTCAGCAGGGTCCTGGAGGGTGCACAGGAGTTCGGCCAACCAGTCTACATGTGTTTTGTGGACTTGGAGAAGGCATGCGATCGTGTCCCTTGGGAACTCCTGTGGGGGGTACTCCGGGAGTATGGGGTACCAGGCTCGTTGATATGGGCTGTTAGGTCCCTGTACGACCAGTGCCAGAGCTTTGTCCGCATTGCCGGTAGTAAGTTGGACTTGTTTCCGGTGAGAGTTGGACTACACCAAGGTTGCCCTTTGTCACCAATTCTGTTCATAACTTTTATGGACAGAATTTCTAGGTACAGCCAAGGTGTTAAGGGGATCTGTTTCGGTGACCTTAGGATCACGTCTCTGCTTTTTGAAGATAATGTGGTCCTATTGGCTTCATCAGATCATGATCTCCAGCACTCACTGGAGCGGTTCACAACCAAGTGTGAAGCGGCCAGGATGAGGATCAGTGCCTCCAAATCCGAGACCATGGCCTTGAGCTGGAATCCTGTAGGGTGCCTTCTCCGAGTCGGGGAGGAGGTCCTGCCCCAAGTGGAGGAGTTTAAGTATCTCAGAGTCTTGTTCACGAATGAGGGAAGAATGGAGTGGGAGATAGACAGGCAGATTGCTGCTGCATCTGCAGTGATGCAGGCACTGTACCAGTCTGTCATGGTGAAGCGGGAGCTTCGCCTTCTAGCTCAGCTCTCGGTTTACCAGTCGGTCTACATTCCTACCCTCATCTATGGTCAAGAGCTTTGGGTAGTGACCAAAAGAACGAGATTGCGGATACAAGAAGCCGAAATTAGTTTCCTCCACAGGGTGTCTGGGCTCTTCCTTAGAGATAGGGTGAGAAGCTCTGTCATCCGGGAGGGACTCAGAGTAGAGCCGCTGCTCCTCCACATTGAGAGGAGCCAGTTGAGGTGGCTCGGGCATCTGTTAGGATGCCTCCTGAACTTCTCCCTGGTGAGGTGTTCCGGGCACGTCCTACTGGGAGGAGGCCCAGAGAAAGACCCAGGACATGCTGGAGGGACTATGTTTATCGGCTGGCCTGGGAATGCCTCGGTATTCCCCCGGATGAGCTGGGCCAAGTGGCTGGGGAGAGGGAAGTCTGGGTCACTCTGCTTAGGCTGCTACCCCTGCGACCTGATCCCGGATAAGCGGAAGAAAACGGACGGACATGTAAACATAATAAAAATGAAATTATATAATACATATCAAACTGTGCGTAGTTTCAAAATATCAGCCACTCCACAGCACAAGGGACTTTTAACCTGCCCTGCAGGGTGTAGACATAGCTTTCTAAGTTCAAAATAAACTAAAGAGTAACTTTGGTTAAAGTGACATTTAGGTACAGAAAAGTAAAAAATAATCCATCCTGTTTGAAATCTTGGTGGATCTGGCAGCACAGAATGTAGACAAGAAATGATGAAATATACAATTCAGTGATTTATTATGATGCACTTAAAGCTTTTGCTAATGTTAGTGTAACTGATAGCTCCATTTCCAAGACACATTTTTCTGATAAGAAAACTAACCAAACTTATAGACAGTTAACTACAGCACAAAGTAGTCAATCACTGAAAGTAAGATCTATGAAGCATCAACCTGACGAGCAAACTTTCTTAAACTTACCCATCTGCAGTGGACATAATCACAACTGCAGCATGTTGGCATTTCATGATGTGATCATGTTTTTACTGCCGCAGTGCTGCCATGGAATGACAGAGTCTGGTTGATTTTCAGTAAAATGTAGCCAACTTTGAAATGTTCACATCTGTTTTGTTTTTTTTGTTGTTCTTTTTTGTCTCCCTATTCAACACAATCATCTGTTTCTGTTAGGCCATTTTTATCACTTTTTGATGTGCCGGGCCCGCTTCTTCTTTTGTAAACAAACCATCCGCAGACAACAGAAGCGGTTCTGCCCCCAGCAATTCATGTATTGCATTGCAGTTACAAATTAACATTTATGTGGTTAAATAATATGTTGACATTAAAATGCAGTGTTTTTATTATCGACGTCGATTATGTTGACAATCTTTGCAGCCCTAGTTTACTCTGTGGTTTGTATCAGTCAGTACAAACTAACATTTATTGCATCAGTTAAAACATGCATCATGAAGAGCAGAAAAATAAAATCCTAAGCTGCAGGACCAACCAAACTGTGAAAAAATGTGACTTATAGTCCAGAAAATATGGTATTTACCCCCCCACACACACACTCCAACATTAGCTAAAGAGTAACACTGCAATTGAATAGTGTTTTATTTTCTGTTTACTTACAAACAAAGCTGTAGACTAAAGAAGCAATAAAGCTTAGACAATAATATGACTGGACGATGTGGCTACATTTGCAATTATAGAGTAAGTCGGGACAATTAATAGCACTGTTGGCTGCATACAAATCTCTCAGGGCATTTTATTGATTTGGAAATTAAACTCACTCAGCAGGAATTAGGGGAGCTATCAGCAGTTATTTTGACATTATTTCACTTTGTTCTAAAGAATCCCAGTGCTTGAAAAAGGACAAACCGAATTGTGTCTCACTTCATGATGGCCATAAATGCATTCCATAAAATTCTTAATCAGACATAATCTAATGTGACATTTCTCTTCACTGCAGGTAAAATGTGATCAATACTGGCCCACGAGAGGGACAGAGACGTACGGTCTCATCCAAGTAACGTTGTTAGACACAGTAGAGTTGGCCACATACTGTGTCAGGACATTTGCACTTTTCAAAGTAAGGATTTTTGTTTTATAGCATTTAACTCAACCGCATCGCAGCTGTGAAGTGTCTGACACAAGCAGTGTGTGCATTACCTTTTCTCATTTCCATATTCAGAACGGCTCCAGCGAAAAGAGAGAAGTAAGGCAGTTCCAGTTCACCGCCTGGCCGGACCACGGGGTACCAGAACACCCAACTCCGTTTCTTGCCTTCCTGAGACGAGTGAAAGCTTGCAATCCTCCAGATGCGGGGCCCATGGTGGTGCACTGCAGGTACAAAACAACATGGTTTTGCAAAAATATCCTGAAGCATGAAATTGATTTTTTTCCTCTCCATTTCCTGTAATGAATAAATGAATACATACTGTATGAAAAAAACCAACATATTCTTGGTAATTTAGTGGTTCATATTTTAGTCATTTGTGTAATGATAATATCAAGAAGAATTTCAACTTGAACCAGAAGAAAAACTATTGATGAAAAGAGAATTTTTGGTTCAAGTGTATCACAGCCTAAGCTAGTCGTCCCACTGTTTTTCAGTTGAACTAAAGGTGTTTTCTGCATCATAGCACAAAGAGTACCAGTGTCATTCCCCTCGGCAATCTAAAAAAAAATCTCCTCCTACACGACACCAACACAGATACAGGCTGACCTGTCGTATTCCATGCTGCATCACTAACATGTCGCACATCACCAACCCACAAGTCTTTGCTTAATACATCCAAAGACTTACACGCCGATTTCCTGTCTCCCAGCTACATAAGAAGCTTCAATCCCCAACAGAGAGCTCAAACATTAAACTGAATTCTTTGGCTTCTCCTAACTCAGGGAGTCAGAGGCTCTGCAGAGAAAAAGCAACATAAGGAGTGGGAAAAAAAAGAAAAATTAAGAAGCGGTGACAGTGAGTGTAACAGACGCAAACTTTTCTCAAAAAAGTGACAAAAAGGAAACGGGGAGATTGCTGAAGTTAATTAGTGCTAGTTGGCAAAATGCTTCAAATTTAAAAGGGGTGGTGGGGGTGGGGGAATCTACAAAAAAGGGAAAATTTATGAAAATTAATGTCAGGCTGCAGATTGGGGGGTTTGAAATGTGTCTGGCTTTCGATCAGATACCGTCATGTCTATGCTCCAAACCCTTCAACAGGCCTTTTGCTAATTTCATTTTTCGCCACCATCTAAAATGGAGCAAGACGATAAATTTACATGCTCACAAAAAGAATTTATGCATGTGTAGTGGTTAAACCGTTACATGTAAGATAGAAATACTTATTTACACATGAAATTAGTGGAAATAAAGCATCTGATTTGCATTGTGAATGGTCATGCAAGACCATAATAGGGCTCAAACATTAACATTTACAGATTGGTTACAGCTATTTTTCCTAAAAGTAAATAGTATTTTTGAAGCTACTATTACTGTAGGGCTGGGCTGCATGACCTCAAATTCATATCACGGTTTAAATTGAATCCCTTCGCGGTAACGGTATGTATTGAGGTATAAAATTATCATAAAAAGTAAAGATAATGTAATTTTTAGAGCTTTTTTTGCAGAAAACTGTAATCTTAAATCAAACCCACAGGGTTCGACAAGATTTTTTTCTTCACCTGCCCGACATGAAAAGTTACCTGCCCGAAACAAAAATGTTCAAAATTTGATAAAACATAAGAAAAAGGTGTACTGTATTTGTACTACAAAACTATTAACATGGTTATACAGAGGTACATAATATATGCCATCTGATTTAGCAGAAGCAAACATTGCAGACTGAGTCACTCACAGTCAGTCAATTGTATTATCTAAAACCTTTTTTTAGACCTTTCCAGTGTTTCCCTAGAGTATTGGCCTTGGGAGGGCTGCTTATAAAAACAGAATGATCAACAGCAGCAACTTTGTTTTAAAAACAATTTACAGAATATGAAAGTATGCAATTTGCATTAATTGAATCTTATATAGTCTCTCATATCTAAAGATACAGTGGTTTGCAAAAGTATTCATACCCCTTGAACTTTTCCATATTTTGTCACATTACAACCACAAACATAAATATATTTCATCCATCCATCCATCCATC